AGTGATGATTGGCATAGCTTTAAAGTTTAGTGACTCAGTGAAAACTTTAGGTAAAATTCAATGATATTTTGGATAATTAACCCTATCATAATTATAGTATTACGACTTTTAAATATATGCCCTTTTTTTTATTAACATTGTATCTCGTTCATTTTTTCTCATACTTATTTTTAACTATATATTTCCACAATAAAAAAAATAATTTTCATATAAACTCAAAATATGTTCTTATATTTTAACCATATAGTCTTCCAAAATTTACTATTCAAATACTTATTCTTTCCAAAAAAATTCGTCAAAAAAGGGTATATTTTATCAATCAATCCTGCTATACGTACAAATAAATTTGATCGAAAATGTTTACAGACAACACTTGGTATACATTCATTAGAAGATGGAAAAATAGATAAACAAAATAGACGAATCACATTTCGTCACGTCACCATCAGTAAAAATCTTTTAGAATTTTTTCTGTACTAGGGCTTTTTCCTTTATCAATTAATTGAGAGGTGCTAGATGTATGTCAATTTTTTTACAGATAACAATTGGCTGTTTTTGATTGCATAATGGCAAAAAAAGACCAATCGATGCTGCATGTGCAGTACCTATAAGGGATTTGACAATTTTATTCACATATTTCATAAAACTCATAAATAGGTATTCACTTTTACATCATTGATGTGTATCTATTTTTAAACACTTTTCAAAGAGTATGTATCCTAATCCTAATCCTAATCCTAACTAAAATAAAAGAAGCACTTGTTGTGGTACTATTTCTATGGAGTCGTGCCATGCTACTGTGTGCCTTGAATTTCTTTATTGTGGAAATCATTTTGTATAATATTATAGTTGAGAAATGTTTATTTCTTAGCCACTACTTCTTTCTATCATTTCACGTCTTAATTATTATTCTCCTCAGCTCTTGAGAAAAGTGCCATTTCACATTCCAAAGCGGTTATATCCTTCCATTTTCTCCTTTTTTCTCATGCAATGGTACATTTTTCTTTTTTTCTTCTTGTGACATAGGAAACCATAAACTTGATCTTGTTCTGACGATCAAAGTTTCTGAATTTTTTTATTCTTACGCACAATAGATTTCTATTTTCATGCATGTTATGTGTGCAGTAGAGAATTTGTAATTTAATGATAATTAAATTG